AAGAAAGAAAGAAAGAAAGAAAGAAAGAAAGAAAGAAAGAAAGAAAGAAAGAAAGAAAGAAAGAGAAAAAAGCCATCGGAAGCCATCAAGATGGCTCAGCAGGTAAAAGCATTTGCTGTCAAGCCTTGAGGGTCTCAGTTCTCTCCCCATAACCCACTTGGTGGAAGACAGAACTGAGTCTGAGAGTGATAAGTGTTCTAAGATAAGGTAAATGTGTGCATTGTCTTAAGATGCTAACACACAGATGAAAAGACACTGGAGGCGATGTGCTCAAACCAGAGCCCGAGGCTTGCAGCACCGTGGAGAACCAAGGGCTCCCGAGCCTTTCCCTAACAAAGCAGCCAAGGCCACTTGGCGCTGCGGAAAAACCCAGTAGGAAGAACTACCCCCGTACACACACACACCTCTTGCTTGCTCGCTCCCTCTCCCAGCCAGGACTCAAAGCCACGCTGGGGGCTGTGACGCTGCTGTTTGCCGGCTTTTCCTGTAGCACCATCTTTCCCGCATTGCCTCTCACTTCCTCCCTTAGGCCCAGTCAGGTTTCTGGAAGCATCCTCCATACCTGAGAAAAAAACACCTCAGTAAACAGAATCGCCTTTTCTTACTTTCTTATCTTCATTCAGTTCCTTAGCTAGGGCTGGCAGCCCTAGGGGGGAGTTTTGTGATTGTAATTTGTATTGTTCCACTCTCCAGGCAGGGGGTCCTCTCCCTGCCCACCCCCTCATCCCCTCCTGCTCTAGTCCCTGCCAGGCTAGAGGCTGTTGTCTGCCCCAGGTAAGGACTGTCTCTTCCAGAACACTCCGGGTCATGTGATTCAGTCCGCATGGCCATCCTGCTTTGTGAGTCTGTACCCCATTTCTCCTCCAGAAATATCCAAACCCAGATACGTTCTCAACGCCAGCTATGTTGTAGCATAATTGACAAATCAAAGTTGTCTATATAGCAGGAGTGGTGTGCACACCTGTAATCCCGGCAGTTTGGAGGCAGAGGTCAGGACTTGGAACTACACAGGGAGATTCTGCCTCAAAAAAAGCATAAGCTCACAAGTGTATGTGTGTGCGGTACAACATAATGTTTTAAAATATATATACATACCTGAACCGTGCATTATTACCACAATCAAGCTAATTAATATATTTACCACCTCATATACCTTTGTGTGTGTGGTAAGAATACTTAAGATCTACTTTTAGTAAATTTCAAATGCACTGTCATTATCCGTGATTGTTTTGAGACGGGTTTTTCTGCATAGCCCTGGCTATCCTGGGACTCACTCTGTAGACCAGGTTGGCCTTGAACTCACAGAGATCTGCTTTCCTCTGTGCACGTGTGTGTGTGCGCGCGCGCACACACACACACACGTGCACGCACGCGCGCACACACACACACACACACACACGTACTGGGACTAAAGGCATGCACCGCCACACTTGGCGTCATTATCCTTGTTATTAACGGGAGTTATCATGCCATATGCCAGAGCCTAGGGTCTTTTGCAGCCTGAATGAGGAGTGAGATGATGCAAGGACCAGATGTCTGTTCATAGATAACAGGCACTAGCCGATACTCGGACCTAAACCCCCATCTCTGACAGTCACAGTTGAGAAAGTAGAACATTTTAAGTATGTCCAAAGTGAAGTTTTGGCTTTGGTTTGGTTTTGAGACTAGGTCTCACCATGTAGCTTTGGCTGCCCTAGAACTTGGTATGTAGACCAGGCTGGCCTCAGACTCACAGAGATCCTGCTGCCTCTGCCTTTGCACTGGGATTAAAATGTGTTCTTTCGCTGTTACTCGGGAGGCGGAAGCAGGTGGATCTCTGAGTTCGAGGCCAGCCTGGTCTACAGATCAAGTTCCAGGACAACCACTGCCACACAGAGAAACCTGGTGTCAAAACAAAAACAAAAAGTGTGCACTGGTTTTAAGGAATCACTCGTGGTCTTGCTCTCGTTGAGGAGTCTCTGGTGATTGTGGTGTGCTTACCTTGATGAACAACTTGAAAGTTTCAGACGGTAATGCCAGGCATAGTGGCACATACCTTTAATCGCAGCACTTGACAGAGGGAGCAGATCTCTGTGAGGTCGAGGCCAGCCTGGTCTACATAGTGAATGCTAGGATAGTCAGGGCTACACAGAGAAATTCTGCCTTGGAAAAAAACAACAAAAAGGAAAGTTTTCAGACATTCTCTATTCTCCCAACACGTGTATCAACTTTCCAGAATCTGCTTCTTCCAAGGGAGAAAAAAGGATAAATTAGAAGGCAGAGAATTGTCACTGAAATGGACACACACGCATTTGAGGCAGATGTCATGCAGTCCAGGCTATGTAGCTGAGGATGACCTTGAATGTCTTAGCGTCCTCCCTCTATTAATGTGAATACTGTTATGGTTTTCTGTGATGCTAGGGATCAAGCTCAGGACATTACAGAGAGGCCTAGCTTCATGTATAGCTTCAGGCAAGCACTCTATAGCCCAGGCCTCCAGAATGAAAGTTTTAGATGTCAACAGTTAGGGTTAGATTTGGGCACATGTGTTGGTTTCTACTGAGTGCCAAGTAAATGACATCGGTGTCTCCAAATGGGTCAAATGTCTGAGGTTTGAGATCTACAAAGACTAACGTAATAGCCTGCTCTGGCAAAGAATGTCAAAGTCGCGATATTACTATAATGTGTCCCAGTCCTCCACGTAGGTCTTGGACTGAGTGTCACGTGCCTCTGCCTCGAGAGCAGACTCTTGGCTTTATGGTGGCCTCAGCAGAGTTGGACGTGTCACGGGCAGTGCGGGGAGGCCCGGTGCTGATGCAGGCTGTGAGTCACCAATTCTGATGCAAGCATCCATCACAGTGATTGGTCTCTCTCTACCACTTCCTCCTAGTAGATCAGCAGGCTGAACAAGGCCCCACATCAGTCATTGTCTCCCAAACCATCTGCACACACAGATCGCGCTGTTTAGGTTTATAGGTGCCTCCCCCAAATGAAGCACATTTGTCTTGTTGCCTCCATGATATACGCAGCGATCTCCCAGAATCAGGGCTTCACGGCTTTGAGGAGAGGGGTGGGCACAGTTCCGCTTTAGTGTGTGGGTTTTCATCCACCAACGATGGCTTTCCTTCTATTGAAATATGACACTGGCGGCTGTGAATTCTAATGTGAAGGCGTTAACAGCTGAGTTGCATGCTCTAATGCAATAACCAAGCTTCTGAAAGGAGTTGCTTATACCCATTGCCCCTATTTCTTAACTTCCTATTCATTCTTTGACTCCAGTCTCCCAGCAGAACATCTTTTCCCATGGTCACCAATGACCTCTGACTTACTGGATCCTCTGGGCATCTTCAGGCTTCTTGCTTGACCTCTCTGTTGACCACACTTTGTTGAAACACACTCCGCTGAAATCCCCGTGCCCGGGGATGGGAATATAGCTAGAATGGGCTAAAACCATACTCCCCTCCTCCCCCCGACAAAAAAAAAAAAATCATACTTCTTAGGTGTCTCGAAGTTACTTCCAGACTGATGAGCTAGCTAGCTTAGTGGGTAAAGATTGCTTTCTGTATAAGCCTGTTGACCTGAGTTCAATCCCTGGAACCCATGATGGAGATAAGCTAGAGACCTGGTTCCTAGAAGGTGTCTGTGGTGCTCATACCATACATAAACATACATAGCACACACACATCAAACACATACGTTACACACACACATGCCGTACAGACTACACACACACACACACACACACACACACATACAGCCTGCCACCATGTGCCACACTCACATGCCAGACATAGAATATACATACACCTGTTAATAATAAACAAAATAAATGTTTAAAAAGATATTTCCAGTTTAACCTGTCTCAAACCCATGATTTCTTCCAAAGAAAAGGGAGGAAAAGTGGGAAAGCAAGGGGACAAGAAGAAGGGAGGGAAGAGTCAAGGCAGGACAAGCAGGGGACTGGAGAGAAGGATAAATGAAAATCTTTTCTTGAAATGGAGTCTCATGTTCTCCTGACTGCCCGGGAACTCGCTATGTAGAAGACCGGAAAGGTGCACGCAGTCTCCACAGACAGAGCCAGAACCCGCTTGTATCCACTGCGGATAGAGTGAGGCGCTGGGGCAACAGTCGGGTCGCCATTCTGCAGACAAACACTGACGATATTTCGAACTCTAAAAATCCTCTAGGAAGCAAGAGTGCAGAGCCTGCTCTGTGATGTCAAGCACTTCCGGGTTGTAAATGCAGCCATTGTCAAACACCTGCTCTGGTCAAAGCAGAAGTGAGAAATGGCCAGCATGGCCAGCAGTGCGGCTTCACTGGCTCCTAAATTGTCTCCGGTTTTATCAGCTGCACATCACTCAGAATTCCAAGGGTGCCCCTGGCGATTCTAGTGGTGATGCCTAAAGCCTGGAAAAAAAAACAGGTCATCTCGGGCCCCAGACGAGTGTTCTGGGCTGGCACAGTGACCTCACATGGGGCGATGGTTCCAGCATGGGCAGCAACTGGCACCTTATTGGCCAGCAGCATGTCCCTAATCTCACTGAGGTCCTCCTTGGTGAACACAAAGCCCACATTGCCCCGGATATGAGGCAGCAGTTTCTCCAGAGCTGCGTTGTTTTCCAGATGCCCCCGGATGGCCTTCCACATCATCGCGTCCTTGCCCATCAGCACCACAGCCTTCCTTCGCAGGGACATGAGGATCTGCTGTATCTGCTTGGAGCCCACGTTGTCTATTCCCACAATGAAGCCTTTTGGGCAATTATCCAAAAGTTGGATGATCTTAAGGAAGCAGTTGGACTTCCAGATCACCCTGTCTTCTCTGGGTATTACACACACAGTGCATCAGGGATTGCCCAGCAGGGTTTAAAGACAATGTCATTCTAATGAGGAAGCCTGGTGAGAGGAGGAGGCCGGCATCAAACTCACAGAGATCCCCCTGCCTTTGACTCCTAAGTGCTGGGACTAAAGGCATGCGCCACCACCGCCTGATGAAAATTAAAATCTAGGAAGAGGAGGAGACATGGTAGTAGCTGTGTAGTTGTTGTTGGGACTGGAGAGCCGGCTCAGTGGTTCACAGCATCGGCTGTTGTTGCAGAGGGTGCAGGCTCCATTTCTAGCACCCACACGGCAGCTCATAGTCATTGGTAACTCCAGTTCCATGCGGGTGAAATACTCATGAACATAAAACAAAGCAGTCATTTATTAAAAAGATGTATTTATTTAGCCCGGTGGCACGCGACTTTAATCCCAGCACTTGGGAGGCAGAGGCAGGCTGATCTTTGTGAGTTCGAGGCCAGCCTGGTCTAAAAGAGCTAGATCCAGGACAGGCTCCAAAGCTACAGAGAAACCCTGTCTCAAAAAAAAAAAAAAAGGAAAAATGATATATTTATTTTCTGTGTATATGTGTGCCTGGATGTATATATATGTGCACCACATGCATGTAGATGCCCACACAGGCAGAAGAGGGTGTCAGATCCACCAGACCAGGAGTTCTATATGGTTGTGAGCAGCCTGGCATGGATGGTACTGTGAACCCATATCCTTAGCAAGAACAGTAAGTGTTCTTACCTCCTGAGCT